ATTAACCTTGTGCTGGGTAAGACCAACATAACCCAACCATCTTGCTAACAACCCAACAAAATAACCAGGGCTGCACTTTTTTTTTAAAGAGTAAAACACACTTTTATACCGTAAAGAAGTAGCTTAGATGTTGCACAAAAGAAACAAAAGTAGTAAAAGTAAGTAACACTGAAAGTAAAAAAGTACACAGCGAATTGCCCCCTTTTTTTTTTTTTTTTTTTTTTTAAGCCAGAGAGTCATTAATAGCTTTCATTGTATGGAAATTAGCCATGTGTGAAGTATTCCTTCAAATAATATATAATACATTACACAATTACATGTGTGTGTGTGTGTGTGTGTGTGTGTGTATATATATATTTTTTTTTCAACAGCAGATATTGATTTATCTTTGTGACAAAGTATAAAGCCAGACATATATCTTTTTGCTTTTCAATCCCTAACATACAGTTATTACTAGCTTACAGTTATTAATAGCTATTTTGTGCACTATTGAAAGGTATCCAATTATACTGAGGACACAATCACAGTCATAGCAGAGCAAATAACTACCTTAGTGACAATCAGACATCATATTTTGACACTCATGACAGATTCTTTCAAAGTCTCTAACACATCTTTCATGTTATTCTTGTTCTGGATCTCATCAGTGTATCTGCGTCAATCACATATCTATGATACTTCACAGACGGTTATCATAGAAAATCACAGTCTTTGTAAAAAACTATTAATATATAATATCATATTTGATTGTATCCACTGTAAACACATATAATGCTTTTCAACCAGTGTCTCAGTGTGGTACAGATTGCTAGAGGAGATGAAATAGACTGAAACAGAGTCATAGTGATGAAATACAGTAAAGACAATCCATAAATGCAATTTATTTCATAAGCACAGCTCTACGAAGCCACTCCAGTGGTAGTTGTGAGTTTCTGAATTGTATAGCGCTGACTGTCTGCAGGTGCTTTGTTTGAAGTGCTCTTAAATAGAATGGAATATCATGAGGCTTGAACTTATTACTTGCTCTCAACAAGACTTTTAGAAGCTCAAATAAAGTTAAGTGTAATTTCAAATGGTCTTCAAGTACCTTTTAAAAAGTACCTTTAAGTACCTGCCGCCTCTGCTCACTCTAACCCTCCGGCCGTTCCTCACGCATGCCCCCGGTCTCTGCTCACTCTAGGCCGCCGTGTGCGACGCTGTTTCGTTGTGAAAGCGAAATTACTTTGGTTTGGTCTTCCAAAAATGGACATGACTAGAAATCAGTGGTTAAGTTGTATTTACAACACTGTTCCAGAACACTTCAACACAAATATTCAGATGTGTGCAGCTCATTTTATGGAGGACCGTTTCCTGATCCTGGTAGAGTAGACTACAATATATTTATAGCGAGTTTTTTGGGCAGTGTAGAGTAGGGCTTGTTGTTTGTCATTTCTCCGATCACAAATGCAGACATGGTTTTATGTTTACGCGGCGCGATGTTCTTTTTAGCAGCATCATATGACCCCTTTAAAGAATGGAGCAGACTCGCGGTTTCATTTACTACACACATACTGAAGCGCGCCTGACACTCGCGGTGATTTCAGCGTCTGCCGTCTCACGTAAACACATTTTTCATTTACTACACACATACTGAAGCGCGCCTGACACTCGCGGTGATTTCAGCGTCTGCCGTCTCACGTAAACACATGAACAACATCTCCAGAACTGCTCTGAGAGTCCCTTAATGAGCATTTTAGCATTTGATTTGAGTAAAACTAGCGTCATATCTCATACACAGAACTGTAAAGGTATTCAGGGCAACCCGTCAAAATAAAAGTCCGGTTTGATTTGAAGACATTGTGCCTATAACTATTTTTCAGTAGAATGTACATAGCCTACTACTAAAATTAAACTTTTTTTTTTTAAATAATCAAACAAAACATTTCTTCCATGTTTTAATTTTAATAGTAAATCCCCTGTGTTTGCTAAAAAAATCTTGTTTGCATAATTTTCAATAATTAAAAGTGAATGATAAATTAAATTAATGTTTTATGCCTTCATTTGATAACCAGAAAAAATGTAAATACACGATACAGAATTTCTGAGGCAAAAAAAATTTCATAAGGCTACTTTAAGAAAAAAAATGAACAAATTAAGTTGTTTTATGCATTCAAATAATTAGACATGCTAAAACACAAAATTTGGTAACAATAAAAAATATAAATGATATGGTGGGAAAAAATAAAACATTACATAGGGCCCTAAACATGTAATTTTGTTAAACTTTTAATAAATTGATGTGAAAATGTATAAGTTTCATGATTTTAATTAATTAGACATGCTTTTTAATTAATACAATTTAATTTAACTATTAAAAAGAAGTCGAGAAATATTAAAACGAAAAAATAATAATAATAAACGGAATACAGAAAAATTAAACCGGAAAAAAAGGAATTTGGAAAAAAATTAAACGGAATTTAGGAAAAAATAAAATGGATTTCACAGGTCCCTAACTATCCCTCAGCCTTGCCGCGCCCCCCAGTTTGGGAACCACTGCTTTATTATTTTAAATGGATACATTAATCGTGCTTATTATATCTTTTTTTTTTGTTAAAGTGGAAATAAGTATACTAAATAAAAACTTGACTGACTGCTTCACTTCCACTTTAAAGGGATATTTATGTTGTTTATTATTTATTCTTATTTATACTATTTATAATTTTTGTGCAATTACTTGCCTGTCAGTTGAGTTTGTGGCAAAACATTTTGCAGTGTTTACATGTTGTTTATCACTGCATAAAATTTATTAAAATAGATGTTTAATTTCATAAAGTACAAGTTGATTTCAAAATGCACCTACTTTTTTGCATTTTGTGTTTTTCAGTTGAATAAAAGACTATTTTTGCCTATATATTTCATCATTGAGGATTTCTTTTAAAAAAGTCTAAAAATCTTGTCTTGTTCTCGTGAACCCAGTCTCGTGTCATGGGATAAGTGTCTCGTCACACCCCTAGTAACGAAGTAATAATACTTCATTACAGTACTTAAGTATTTTTTGGGAGTATCTATACTTTACTTGAGTTTTTATATTTCAGCCAACTTTTACTTTTACTCCATTATATTTCCTAATTAAAATGTATAATTTTACTCTGATACATTTCCCCGAGGCATATTCGTTAACTACTACAAAATACTCAGAAGTCAGAAGAACACGGACTGCATGAAAGCAGGTTTGACGAATCAGTGGTCTGGCGCTTGCAAGTTAGACTCCTAAAAACACCTTTGCTCACTTGCAAACAAGTGTGAGCACAACCGCGGATGATTCATTTTCCAGTCAAGTCGAGTCTGGGGTGTGCGATACTGCATCGTCTGCGATAATATGGTAAGTGTTGTTGTAATGATGTGCGATCTGACATTATCAAGTAGGCTATATCACCAAATCACGCACAGAGAGTGCACGCACGTTGATTTATTAGTCTATTAAAACTTAAAATTACAGGCATTCTAAATTGTAGACGGCAAAACTGCTTTGGTTTGCTTTTTATATTTATATAATTTAATATAGTTAACTTAATCTATATCACACAAAGAGTACCGTTTTTCTGCAGATATCAGCATGAACACATTTAATAATCATTTAATACAAGTTCAGTAAAGCAATTAGTGACTTACATTTTAGACATACTATTGCTTGTTTTTGCTCAATTTTGCTAACGGAAATAGTTCCAAACAAAGATCACAGCACTGTTTTGTCGAAGCTCTCACTCTGGAGGGTAAACCCTTTGAAGAGATTAGGGCATAGGGATGAGCCCTTCCGACTGGAACGCAGGGACAGTCAAAAGCGTCGTTCTTGAATGAATCAGCCGTTTGAATGAATCGGTTGAATCTCAATGACTCACTCATTAACAGGGACTTGCTGCCACCTACTGGCGGTTTTAATTTCACATTTCAACTATTTTTTTTTTCTCCATGTTTTAAATCATTTCAAATATCAGTAGTCAACGATTTATGTTTAAAACAAAGCATTATTTATGCATTTGTAACAGCAGGTTAAATGCATGCATGTCTTCTCTGAGCGTCATTAAACTGTGTAAATACATATAAATGCCACTTCAGATGCAGATTCCAGAAATGATTTCTTATGTTGGAATGAAAGAGACTAATACCGGATGAAGTGCCTCTTATGCTTACCGAAAGATACAAAATGGAAGAAAGAGTTCGAACTGAACACAATCTTGCTGCTCAAACTGTGTATAAACATTTTTTAAATATTTGCTCCTTTTCCATTTTGCATTTACTTGTACTTTTACTTTCAATACTTAAGTATGTAAGTATGTTAAAAAATACTTTTCGTACTTGAGTACAATAGATATCACATACTTTAAGACTTTTACTCAAGTAATATTCTAATATTCTAAATACCAAAGTCATTTTCTGGTAGCCTAAGATATCTATACTTTTACTTAAGTGTGGATTTCGGGTACTTCATCCACCACTGTATGATTCATTGATTCCTCATATTTTCCCTCAAATTGAGCATATTATTAAAATATCTATAATATATACGCACATTTAAAATATGCTATATAAAGAGCAAAAAATAAGGAACTAAATAATAACTTTTTGAACCACGTGCATATGTTTTAAATCTAAAAAATACAGGTCAATGGAAACCTATTTATTGCAGTTCAACAGGCATTCTGCAATTGCCCTCTCTGCCAGTGCTATGCATAATAACAAAGAGATGTAAAGGAAATTGCTGTGGTGGTGTTAGTTGCAATTTAGTATCTTGGGAGAAAAGAAAACAAAAAGGGCTTTTTATCAGGGGGGGGAGGGCTTTAGCTGTACCTTATCATGTGCCTTATATTTTAAAATATATGATGTTCCATGCCAAGTACCAATATGATATCCATCCCATAATTTCTAAAGTACCAAGGTTTTTTTCTCCATTCACATAATCAAGAATTTCTAATGATTGCACAAAATGTGCATTTCCGTCACAGTACACTCTCAAACATGCTTTGTTTGTTTTAGCACATTGGTTTTGATATGGTGTAACGTTAATCTGAAAGAGGTTTACAGACGGCGCACATTTCATCATGGCGAGCGTTGCATCAGCCACGAACGCACCATCATCTCAAGAGGTAAAGGCGCGCATCGCATTCATAGCGGGTTTTTTCACCCATAAATATAAACACGTCTATGTTTTCAACCTTCATGTGTTTGATAAATGTAGTTAAACCAAGTCATATTGTGTCCTAAAACCGCGTATGTCGGCTTGTGCCGTTCTCTGTCGTGGCACATAGGTTTTCACTTTTGTGTAACTAATTTTTATGTATTGCATTGAAATGGACAACAACTCAGACAATATATTGTGTTATATGTTATATAACGTGTATATGATCTTCAAAGGTCATGTATTTTTATTTTTTATTTTTTTATGTATGTATGTGTTGGTCAGACTGACCTTGTGTTTACGCGCATGATACATCACTAGACTAATGAAATAAGGAGGCAAAGTCCCCTGTTAGGGTTGTTGTTTTTTTTTTATTCAATTATAAAATAAAGTTCCAGTTACATTTTATGTTTACATTCTTTCCAGGTTAAAGGCACGTGGATTACTACCATGCTGTGAGCAAAAAGCTAATGTTCATATTTTGTATTTATATTTTTGTTAATTATTGTTTTATATATAAATATTCTTTATTAAATTGAAATCTGATAAGGGTTTTCCACATTTTTACTGTGCTTGATATAGCTATAAAAAAGGCATTTATTACTAATTGTTCTTTGGCTATTATTTTTAACCTTCACCTTCTGTTCAGACCATTAGGCAACAAATCCACTGCATGGAGGTGCGCCTTTAATTCAACCCAGCTGATTGGTCACTAAAAACTCACTCGCATATCATTTCATGTTTCAAGCCACTTCAAGTTCATTTCGTGATGAACATGATGATGTGTAAGGGGGTGAGTTCATCAGGGGTGTTAAGTACTTATTTGCTATACTTAAAAAAAAAAAAAATTTCCGGAGCAGGGATCTATTGCAATTGAAAATTACAATGCTGTACAATTCTGTAGCTCTCCAAAGTAAAAAGGTTATATTTATAAGGTTGTCATATACTTATTATTTTTAAGTATTATTTTGGATAATTTGCACTTTTCTTGAGTGTTATTGAAACGGAATACTTGCACTCTTGCTCAGTTACATTTCTAAGGCAACAATTATACTTTTTACTCCTTCATTTAGACCTCCAAAGTACAAAGTCTATTTTCGCAGGTCATCATTACTTGACTTGAGTCTGACTCAGTGTAAATTCTATTTAGACAAAACTATGCTCATTCGTCCTTGTGAGGAAACATCTTATCGTTCACCACAGCACAGTGTTTGACCTAAAGAAATATGTTATAATTATAGCTGTTGCTGTAGCAGAAAATGCAGACACTTGGTTGGTGATCACTCTATAAACAGACGAACTAAATACAAAGGTCTCAGTTTCAGGATGGAGCTTGTTGTGTTCTGTAGACAGTCAGGACTTTTTTTTCTACTAGCTACTTGAATTTTTAATTAGAGTTATTTAAGTGATATTCTAGATATTTTGTAAGGGAATACATTGTTAAGAGCATGGAAATGTAAGACCAACATTGCTTATTCTTTTATAAGAGAGCAGTAAAAGAAATTAGTGAAGAGCATCAGCACTCTAAGTAACATTCCTTCACATTTTAAGGTACTTAAAGTGCCAAAGTACTTCGGAAATGTATCAAATTAATTGTGTTTGCATATCTGATTGGATATTCCAGCTTCAAATATGCATATGCTCATATTATATGTTGTATTTTTGTTCCCTTTTAGGAATTTGAGAATAATGGTATGGCTGGCAATGCCTCTAGCTTTAAGGTAAGGCATATTGTATACACATATTACAGATTGCTATATATATAGTGTAATAAACCGCACTTGCCTTTAGCGAAATGTCCAATGGCATCATTCTGATGTTTGATAGATACACCAGACAATTAGAAACTCTCCTCCTCAGTCAAAACTTGATTCTTTCTCTGATAAATCGACTTTTCTTATGGTCTTATGGTCATTTCAGTGTCCACATACTGTTTCTAAAATTCATAGCATAATGAAAGAGCATTTTGAGTGGCTATACAAGCTTAGTTGAATCTTAGTGTCTTGAGTAGACTCATGGTAGACTCCTTGTTCCATAGCGTATTTTGACCTCCATGGCTCCAAAATGTGACCTTGGACCTCTCTTTTTGGCAGTTACCAGAAAGGTCCTAGCTTTTCCAAGATCCCATGCTGAAAAGAGAAGCCAGTCTCTCAGATCACTGTAAGCCTTGTCAATCAAGCTTGGCTTGGCTTTGGGCATGCTCTCTGTCTCTCTCTACCTTTCTCTGACTCAGGTGGTGATTAAGCCTGAGTTCTTTTCAACACAGGCTAGATCACACCATTGCCATAAAGTAAACATAGTATTATAGACAAATATCTGCAATCATGCCTTAGGTTGGTGGCTGCTTACAAAATTAGAGCATTTATATAGTGTATGGATGAGAGAAATATCTAAAAATAAAACAGTTTTTAATTCTGATCATTTGATTCATTGAAATGATTCAAATAAAAAGAACGATTCATTCACAAATCAGGCATTGCTATTTTAAATGTGACATTTGAAATGTATAATACTTATATATTTGCATCCTTGCTCCAGTCCCTCATTCCCTATACGTAATTGCATGGGAAAGAGTGACAAGTACATTTTGCAACGTTTTATGTTAAAAACTAAATATTAGGCCTATCTATGTGTCTGTAACTGCAGGTTAAATGCATCCATGTCCCCTCTGAGATACATAAACCGTGTAAATACATCTAAATGCTATTTCAGATGCAGACTCCAGAAATGTTTTCTTATGTTGGAATGAAAGACACTAAGTACATTTACATTACATTTACATTTAGAAATTTAGCAGATGCTTTTATCCAAAGCGACTTACAAATGAGGACAATGGAAGCAATCAAAATCAACAAAAGAGCAATGATATGCAAGTATACGAATCAGTTCTAATCAGGTTGAATTAGGCTCTTCAAATCCTAGTCATCTCAAAACCTGAATCAATAATAATAATTAATTCCCTTATACAATTAATGAGTTAATTTCATTACAATGTGAAACATCAGACCTATAATGAAACATGACATTGTCTAATCTCCATAGTATCAACATTGATCTCGTGTTCTTTGCTAAACCTAAAGTTACAAGGAACCATTGAAAAACTTAATTTTTAAGTAAAAATGTAAATAAATGCAAGACAGCTCACAGAGGAAAGCACTTTTAAGATGGTGCTGTCAGCAAATGGTTACCAGATGATCTGTTTGAGGAGTAAAGGAGAGAGCTGTGGAATATTACAGTTGTATCAACGTACATCATGCTGAGAGAAAAGATACGCAATGAATGGAATGCAATTACCTTTTCCAGAAGAAGAGGGTGACAGTACTGGGGTAACTTTGAAAAATGAAAGAGAAAAGGATGCAGGAAAGCACAGCTCCTTCTAACTATCAGACAGACATGAGTAAAGGTCAATTGTGAATGTGGCCCGGTGGGAAAAAGACACAGCTGACCTTTGCCACCTCAGTTGAAGTGCTGTTCAGATGGTATTTGGCATGTCAGTGGAGTGTGCATTTCCATCCAGACAGACAATGGAAGCAATCAAAATCAACAAAAGAGCAATGATATGCAAGTATATGCAAGATATGCATACTGAACACAATCTTGCTACTCAAGCTGTGTATGAAAATTTTTATATATATTTATTTGCTTCTTTTCCATTTTCTTGTACTTTTACTTAAAATACTTAAGTATGTTTAAGACTTAAAAAATACTTTTCGTACTTAAGTACAATAAACATCACATACTTTAAGACTTTTAATCAAGTAATATTCTAAATGGTGACTTCAACTTCTACCAAAGTTAGGCTCTTCAAATCCTAGTCATCTCAAAACCTGAATCAATAATAATAATTAATTCCCTTATACAATTAATGAGTTAATTTCATTACAATGTGAAACATCAGACCTATAATGAAACATGACATTGTCTAATCTCCATAGTATCAACATTGATCTCAAGTGTTCTTTGCTAAACCTAAAGTTACAAGGAACCATTGAAAAACTTAATTTTTAAGTAAAAATGTAAATAAATGCAAGACAGCTCACAGAGGAAAGCACTTTTAAGATGGTGCTGTCAGCAAATGGTTACCTGATGATCTGTTTGAGGAGTAAAGGAGAGAGCTGTGGAATATTACAGTTGTATCAACGTACATCATGCTGAGAGAAAAGATACGCAATGAATGGAATGCAATTACCTTTTCCAGAAGAAGAGGGTGACAGTACTGGGGTAACTTTGAAAAATGAAAGAGAAAAGGATGCAGGAAAGCACAGCTCCTTCTAACTATCAGACAGACATGAGTAAAGGTCAATTGTGAATGTGGCCCGGTGGGAAAAAGACACAGCTGACCTTTGCCACCTCAGTTGAAGTGCTGTTCAGATGGTATTTGGCATGTCAGTGGAGTGTGCATTTCCATCCAGACACGCATCCACTCAACTGTTCACATCAAAACGCTGATTTTCACTCTCTGTTCTCACACACACACACACACAAAAAAAAAACTGGTTTCCACAGGTTTCACCAAATTCTCATGCTGAGCACATACACACACACCAGTGATCAGGCAAATCGATGGCTACTAATTGGGTCGCATGGAGCTTTGGACACATGCATGCCGTGCCCAGCAGTGTGAAATGAACCAAATGAGAGGTCAGTGGAGAAGCAGATGACCCTTAGAGTGTAGAGGTCAGGGGTCCGTGCTTCTGGCATGTCCCACCTCTCGCTCTCATCCGCCCACTTTTTAGAAACACCGCAAATTTTGCTGTTGGTACAATTCCTAAGATGTCCAGATGTTTAGTGCAGGAACAAATGTTGGGTGCATAGAATTAGAGGTCTGCGCGGGACTATTTTTTTTGTCCTGCTCCCGCAAGGTTATATTCTATGGGATTACATCTCTGCCGCAATTCTGCAAAATCCGTTTTGCACGCGGGCGAACTGAGTTTTGTGGAGAAAATGTTGGTCTCGCAAAGAAGAAAGTATTTAGAGCGCACGAAAATAAATTTTGCATTTAAAATACATTTTTGGATATGTGCAGACCTTCTCATTTGCACGTGCAATGTTTCACTAGCTTGCTCACCTGATGCCAGCCCTCAGTGCTCTCTAAATGCCAACGGCTCGCTTGCTCAACACAGCCCAGCGTTACAATATGCCATAATTTTCTTTTCCATTTTCTTGTACTTTTACTTAAAATACTTAAGTATGTTTAAGACTTAAAAAATACTTTTCGTACTTAAGTACAATAAACATCACATACTTTAAGACTTTTAATCAAGTAATATTCTAAATGGTGACTTCAACTTCTACCAAAGTAATTTTCTGGTAAGATATCTGTACTTTTACTTGGCTTTCAGGTACTTTATACACCACTGGAAACCAGAAAACATGTTTTTGTGTCTCCAGTGCCCTTCACCACTTCACCATAATTTTCAGTACATAATATGTTTATATGTTTGTGACGGCCTCAGCATCATACAAGGAGAAGGTGGAGAAGGAAAGAAAATAAAACCACATTGGTTTTCATGTTGTAAGGCATTTGCGAACATCACACAAAGAATCAGAATCAGATCAGAATGAGCTTTATTGCCAGGTATGTTT